ACAGCATGGCAATTTACAACCAGATCATGGAAGCCAGTAGGTCCTGCTGGAGAATAACAACCATTGAATTGCTTACCAACTCAGCACTCTACCAGCATGGAAGTTCTGTGGCAGAGAAGATACAGAATGGAATACAGTTATTACCTTACCAAAACGTGATGTCTGCGAACTGAAATAGACCAGTCACACAGTGTTGGCAAAAGAAATACATTAGGGGCCACGTGTGGTGGCTCACACCTGTAATCCCAGCTTTGGAAGGCCAAGGTGGGAGGATCACTCAAGCCCACAAGTTTGAGACCACCCTAGGCAACATAGCGAGACCTCATCTCTACAAAAAAAAAAAAATTAAAAATTAGCCATGTGTGATGGTACATGCCTGCAGTCTCAGCTACTCAAGAGGCTGAGGCAAGAGGATCGCTTGAGCCCAGGAGGTTGAAGCTACAGTGAGCCATGATTATGCAGTCCAGCTTGGGTGACAGAGTGAGACGCTGTCACACAAGATTTTGAAACGGTCAGTATAACTGCTGAATATTTCTGGGAAACAAAAGAACCAGCCTGGGATACATTTCCTAAAATGGTCACTTGGGGAGACAAAGGATTGAGATGCTTTGAGTATCACAGAGTCACAAATGGTCTCACAACCTATCAGAAAACAACAGTCCAAAGCAGTACTGAAGAGACTCAGGTCCTGTAGCTCAATGAAAACCATACTGTCATGATTGGGGAAATTTTTTGCACAGCTGCTATATAGCCTTGAGTTTGTATCTACAAGAATATTAACCAATCCTATAGAAATAAAAAGAAACATGCCATTTGGCCTGGCATTTCAATACAGTTCATTATTTATTAAGTGTCTGTGGTGTACATGACACTCTATTAGGTAAAACACAAAGCACTAAAATATCTCCAGTAGGCAGTTATTAGGATTAGGACTACGTATTTGCTTTGCTTTGTGGTTTCCATAATGTCCATCTATTTCCCAAGACTTTTTCCTCTTTTTATATTACCTCTTTTTACCAGTTAGAATAGAGGTTGAAAATCAATCCCAGTGAATCTTATCTCTAGGTCATCTCTACACTTAACCAATTAGCCGAGTGTGGTGACACATGCCTTGGCACTTGGTGACCTTTTTTTTCTTCCAGTTCTGCTGACCTTCAGGAGCACAGAGGTTTAGCTGCATGGCTACCCATGAAATGTTGTGTCACCTGCTAAGAGGATATAACGACTGAGACAGGGCAACCTAATCACCATGATTTCCTTGGGGAAGTTCAAAAAAGAAATGATACCACTAGCCAGTTTTAATTACAGGAGCAAAATTAGGCATTTGATGTGAAAAAAAAATCCCAGGTGAAGGACCTAAATGGATTTATGCTGTTTGAATGTCATCTCTTTCTAAAATGTAATTCCACTAATGGGATTATTGCTTCTCTAGTAAATTCTTTGGGTCAGATACCATCAAATTTTTCAAGTTGAGTAGGTCACAACCAATCAGTGTTTACAAAAGTGGTCCATTAAATCAGAAGGAGGCATGATTTTAAAAACTATGGCAGGTAGTCTTGATCCTGGGAGCTGGCAAAGAAGGCAGCAACCACCATGGTGTGGATGTGTAAGTGCTAAGATGCTACTTCTGTTAAGGTGTCCAAGTTCTTGGCACTTTGAACAAAGAATTGGATAAAATGCACAAAGAAAGCAAGAAAAGAATAAAGCAACAAAAGCAGAGATTTATTGAAAACAAAAGTAGACTCCACAGACTGGGAGTGGCCCCAGCCTAGAGGCTCAATAGCTCCTTTACCGAATTTTCTGGGGTTTAAATATCCTCTAGAGGTTTCCCATTAGTTACTTGGTGTACACCCTATGTAAATGAAGTAGTATGCAATCAATCTGATTGGTTGGCTGAAGTGAAGTTACAAGTTTACACCCTATGCAAGCATCTGATTGGTTGTGGAAAGCAACCAATCAGAGGCTGAAGTGAAGTTACAAAGTTACACGCCTATGCAAATTGGTTGCTTTCTGCAACCAATCAGAGATACTTTCAATTTTCCACACAGAATCTGTTTGGGGGAGCAGAGAGTTGCAAAGGAAGTAAGGGAGTAGCCTCCAGTCCTTTTGTTACTTGGGTGTGGAAAGTTGGGGTTTTCCTTTTGTTCTAGGAAGTCAACATTAATTGGCCATAGATTCCCTGCCTCCAGACCTTATTCTCCTGCCTCACTTCTGCCTGAAGATAACTCTCCAAGTGCCTCCATCATCCCAGGTAGTATCGTGAGTACTTTCATTGAAGGCAAATTGCTCAAAAATAAGCCATTAGATCTAGTGGCAATCATTCATTCATTGTTTTCTCTAAGATTTTTTCGGACCACGTACTATGTACCAAGCATGATCTCAGAGATGAGGATGCAAAGGTGAACAAAATTGCACTGGTCTCTGTCATGGAGCTTACATTCCAATGGAGTCAGTGGAAAAGAAACAACTAAATCAATGAAAATACAATTTCAGGTAGAGTGCAGTGGTATGAAGAAGAATAGAATAGGATAGAGGATTAAAAGGTGGAGTAGTGGAGGCAGGGTGTCTTAGGACGGCCGGGAAGTCCCTCTAAGAAGGTTAAATGTGAACAGAAGCCTGAATTATGCAAAGATGAGCCACCTGGAGATATGGAAGAGTAAGACCAGGAGGTTCCAGGAGGACACAGGTGGGAGCAAGCTTGGTTTAAAGGAAAATGAGGACATGAATGTGATTAGAATACAATGAGCAAAGAGAGTGTAGCTGAGGAGGCTGGCAGTGAGGCAGTAGTCTATCTTGCACGGCCTTGCAGGCCACAGCGAGGAGTGGAGATTCTATGCAAGAAAGTTGGGAGCCATGGGATGGGGACACCTAGAGGTTCCATTCATGAATCCAGGGCATTGACTTCTCCTTATGAAGGAATGGAAGATTCTACCACCATTTCTACAAGATTCTACAGCCAGGGATGGTGGCTCACACTTATAATCCCAGTGCTTTGAGAGGCTGAGGCAGACAGATTGCTTGAGGTTAGGAGTTCAAGACCAGACTGGCCAATATGGCAAAACCCTGTCTCAACCAAAAATACAGAAAATAGCCAGATGTGGTGGCGCACACCTGTAATCCCAGCTACTCGGGAGGCGGAGGCAGGAGAATCGCTTGAACCTGGGAGGCGGGGGTTGCAGTGAGCTGTGATCCTGCCCCTGCGCTATAGCCTGGATGACAAAGCGATACAGTGAGGCTGTCTCAAAAAAAAAAAAAAAAAAAAAAAGTCTACACACAGCAGCTAGCAGCTCCTGGATGTCCAAGGGCAAAGGCCATTGGAATAAATCAAGGAATAAAAAGTGTTATAAGTCATGACCTCATTCTCAATGGAATTACCTGTTGAGGAAATAATAATAAATATATTTGATTTCATAAAACAAAGCACTATCAGGAGGCCTTTTGTGGCCACACTGGTGCAGTTACCACTTAAAAGTCCCCATAATGCGTGACACCCCCTCCTTCTAACCCCTCCACATAAACATAGATTCAGAAAAGGACTGGACAGGGAGACACGCCTTTCTTTACTCATGGGTGCTGGGGTTTAGAAATTGACATGCTTACTGTTAATAATATTTCCTAATTCCTCATAAAATGGAATTTTTAGAATAGATTTTATAATAAATCTAAATTTTAGAATAGACAGAAACAAATAATTACTTGTAATAAAATGTAGAAGAGCTAGAAACACAAGGCTGTGGCTTTTATTTCATGGTTTGAAAAGTTCTATGAGACAACATTAATTAGTATCATTCCTCAATGGACATGCAACATAGTTTATTATAAACAGTAATTTAGAGATAATGATGTGAATGTGTTAAGTTCCAAGCAACCCATCTAAAAGTGAAAGTGGAGCTCACTATTCATGTACATTCTCATCGGAGCTCTGAGTACAGTTTATATTTCAGCCTAAATTATCTTTTTTAGCCTTTCATATCAAGGCCATATTAGCAGCATTTTAGAATAGATTAGTAAAAGGGAAAGCAGACGTTAAAATATATAAAGTAAGCATTTTAGGCAAGAATCCAGATTATATAATTCTATATGATCAGAGAGATAATCACCTCTTTTCTGAGAGGACTCATGCCTTCAGATAAAATAACACTGGGTTACATCTCTTCCTTCCCACCCCACCCCCTTTGGCGTGCTTTAATTAGAAAGATACTAGCATAGATTAAAGTCTTAGCCATACTCAATTCTTCCCTTGACCTGAAGAAAACCACAGCCATAGAGAATCTGTTGTGATAACAAAATATTATCAGTTTCATCCAAGTATACCAGTAAGCTTAAATAGAGCACCCAGGAGGTAGACTGTGTATGCAAGAGAAAAAAAGTGACCCTTACATACTGATGATTTGACTCACATAATGAATGGTCTTACCTTTTGCATCAGAGCCTTGAAGTGTCAAGCGCATGATTTCCATGCAGACAAGTAACATTTCCGTGCAGGAGAATTCTAAGATAATATTCGAGATGTAAACCAAGGACCTGCTGTCTGGGTCTTTGCATTTGTCAGTTGTGTATTTATGTATGGGACACAGTATCTGTGGAAGCAAACCAAATTCAAGCAAGCTAAAAAGCAAATCCTTACATAGTACTTAAAGTCCAATGAGATAAAATGATGGATCAAAAGGATTATTTTTGCTTAATGAAGCATTCTGGGGTTTGAGTCTCATTGGACTCAGTTTTTCAACAGGATGTTGTGCTCAAGGGCTGGAATTTGGAAATTCCACAACAGCTATATAATCAGTCAGCTCTGATTAATTTAATTGAAATAGGACTCTTGATGAAGCCCTGCTGTGCTTATAATTAAAAATTTAGAAAAGGGTAGGGAGAAGTGTAGATGATGTGGGGGTTTCTTTTTCCTGTGAAATTAGCTGAGTGTATTAATTCAGAAGGTAGGCAGTAGCCTCTGATTGTATGCTTTAGTAATCTGAACCATCTGCCTCTGTATACTAAGGAGTTCACCACTTTAATCCAGCTTACGGCCGACAAACCACTCTTCCCTATCAGTATGCCCTTGAATAGATGAGGCTATACAAAGTCCTTTGCTCTTAAATGTATTGCTGTCACTGAGAATATTTGGAGGATTTCTCTTGGATTTGTTTGAATTTTTTTTTTTCAGCTTTTGTCTGAATTTTGGTTTTATTTTTCTGGGGCAGAGAAAATGGCCTTCCTTATGAAAAGTATGATAAGTAACCAGGTAAAGAATTTAGGATTTGGTGGTGGGTCTGAAGAAAATAAAGAAGAAGGAGGTACATCTGATCCTGCAGCAGCTCATGGGATGACTAGAGAGGAATATGAGGAATATCAAAAGCAAATGATTGAGGAGAAGTGAGTACATACTGCTTCATTTCCCTTAAAAAGCAAAGGAAATTCATTCTGGCCACACCTTCTTCTGTTTCCCAGTTTATTTCTCTTTGCTTTTTAAGATGCCTTTCCTTTTGCTTTTGCCTCTAACCGGAGGAAAGGTCGTTCTTCTAAAGTAAACAGTTCCCTAACATCAGCAGCGACTATGTTCTATGTTCTACATGTGTGAATGAAAATGAACAATAGTAAATGCATCTATATGTTGTTCTTAACGCAGCTTAACACTTTCTGGTCTATGCATGTTTTGATTGACCTCAATTTAATTATTTAGATGAGAAGCAGTGGGTTTAACTATCTATATGGTCTTTCTAAAATTCATCCTTCTAGCAAGTAGAAAGGCTTCAAAATTGTAAGAATTCAGACCTTATACCTAGAAAAGAGCCTAAAAGAACATAGTGTGGTGCTTCCTTGATCTTACATGTGCAAAACGAAAACAAAAACAAAAAAAACCCAGAAAGCATAACATGACAATTATGTCATAAGACTTGACTTATCAAAGACTACGAATAGATTTGTAGACTATTTCATATGGAAATTCTAAACATACAGAAAAGTAGAAAGTAGGATGAATACCCATATATCCTATGACATAAAGACAACAGCTTACATTTTGCTACATTTGCTTATAGATTAAATACAGAGATGCTAGATAATAGTTTTTAAAGGAAATTACAGCTGTCATGATACTTCATCCCTAAAAACTACAGCCACCTTCCGCCAAAATTAAAGGCATTCTCTTGGTTATATAAAATATAACAAAAATAAAATATAAAATATAAGCAATATTTTAGTTGGGTATTACAGAACGTGAATATCACCAACAACTTTTCACCACTTGAAGACTGATTCTAAAATAAATGTAATCTCTGTGTAATTTTTAAATGTTTAAGGTGGAATTAATAGTCTTTTGATAATCAACTAAAAAATGAAACATCATTCTAGGGGTTAAATGTTTATTACATGTTTCAAAAGAAAAGTATTTCTGTTTTTGCCACCAGGTCTCTTTTGCTAATGATCAATTACATAATAGTTGCCCAAGTCCTATCACTAAGATGATTATAGGTGAAAAGGTTAATGACCTGCAGGAAACAAAGAAAGTACAAAGACTACGTTTAGTGGAAACCTTGTCTATTGTATTGTTCTGAAAGAAATCATGGCTTATAAACTACCTAGAATACATTATGCTTGGCTCTGCAATAAATTAAAGTCAGTTTTTTTAAAAAGCCAATGCAACTAGCAAAAATGATGGTGGTGGTAAGACTTGGGCAAAAGCAGCAGCATTCCTTGAATATTGGCTGATTTTACCTATGGCATGTAAAAGAACAAAAAGCTGTAAAAGCAAAATAAGTACTGTGTAATGAGGAATAGAACACAAACATCAGCATCAAACATTCTCAGATCAAGTAGGCTAATGAAAACAGTCAGAAATGTAGACTACACTTGTGATCATGTGAAATATCATTTAATATGTCCAAGCAGTAGATCCGATTGCAGATAAGGCATCTATCTGATTAACTAATGTCCTAGTTTTCCTTAATTTTATATCTGGACAGATCAAAGCTCAAAATGACCAAATTGTACAGTCAATAAGTAGACTGAGTTGTCAGCTACTCAGTTTTTTGCATATGTGTGTGCGAGAATATTATATATTTAGGTAGTCGCTCAATTTAAGAAACAGTGGCAGGACAATGGGGCAGTCAGCTTCCCTGTGATAAAGAAGGATGATTCTTCAGTCCATTGTTTGAGTTTTCAAGAGTTTCATCACCTAGAATGCAACATATAGTAAGCATTAAAAATAATTCATCACAAGATAAACGCAGGGTTAGCTACAAACAGTATAGTATATTAAATAATTAAAATTAATGTTAGCAAATAAAAGCCTCCTAAACCCATCCTAATTATTTTAGGAACTGGGGACATAGACTATATGATATATAAACAAAAAACTATTTAGCAATGCATTCTATTTAACAATGCATATTCATTTTCCATCTGTGTTCAATTTGTGTGTGTGTGTGTGTGTGTGTGTGTGTGTGTTTGTGTGTTACTGGTTACATTAGTACTGAAAGAGGTCTAATCATAAATAGACTATCTGGAAAGGAAATAAAACAATAGTCGTTTATCCCTCCATTTTCTCCATTATATTAAAATGCTTCTTTGCCTTAGTTATGGTTCAACAGTTTCTACAATGCCATTTGTAACTTGACTATGACCTTTGTTTTATTCAGTAATTGTTTGGACCCCAAGTATAAGCAGAGCACTGGGAGGAATATACTGAAATGAAAGACCTGGATTTTCTTCTGCAGAAATTTACACTTTACTTGGTGAGGGGGAGACTAGCTAGCTGCATGTGATGGTAAATCGAGCAAGTGGTTTTCTGTGTGATTTGTAGACTGACTCTGGAGGACTGGAATCTAACTCTGCATTGCATTGATCCAGCAAATGGATCAATGGGGTTTATAGTTATTTGATTTTCAACAAAGGCACCAAAATAATCAGACCAGGAACGGAAAGTCTTTCTAACAAATGGTGCTAAATAATCGAAAAACACTGAGCTTTGACCCCTACTTAACACTATACATGAAAATTAATTTGCTATGCATCACACACATAAACATAAAAGCCAAAATTATAAAGCTTTTAGAAAAAAGTAGAATATCTTTGCAACTTGCAAGTAGGTGAAGGTTTCTTTTATCATGAGCCAGATTGGCAATGATGATATCAATGACCATAAAGTTATTAAATGATCAATTCAACTCTAAGTTTAAAACTTTTATTAGTTAAAAGATGCCATTGAGAATCTAAATGGGCAAGCCAGACTGAGAGAATATATTCGGAAAATATATCCAAAAAAGGATTGGGATCTAGGAAATATGAAGAACTCCTATAACTCAATAATAAAAGCAAAAAAAAAATGAGCAAAAGATTTGAACAAATACCTCAGAAAGATAGATACATGGCTAATTAGTACATGAAAATCTTACTTGAAAGTACACAAAAAGCTGCCTAATTCGTTGTCTTGAAAATGGAAAAAATTAAAATCACAGTAAAGTACCACTCCATAAATACCAGAATGGCTAAAATCAAAAAGACCAAAAATATCAGATGTTGACCAAAACGTGAAACCACTAGAACTCCTGTTTCAATTGTTGAGACATAAACTAGTACAAACGCTTTGGAGCTAGGTCTTGCTTTCCTATAAAACTAAACATATCCCAGTAAGTTACACTAGAACCCAGCAAATTCCATGCCTATTTACCTAGTAGAAATTAAAATACAGGTCCACAGAAAAAAGCTAGAAAAATATTCATAGCCGCTTTACTCACGGCTATGAATAGATCCAAATGGGAAATGATTCAGGTGTTTATTAACAGGAGAATGACTAGACAAACCTCGATTGTATTTGTGCAAACAATAGAATACCTACTACTCAGCAATGAAAAGGAACCAATTACTAATACAGAAAACAACATGGATAAATCTCAAAAGTATTTTATGATGAGTGAAAGAAGCCTTCCACAAAGATGAACTGTATGGTTCCATTTTTATGAAGTTCTAGGACAGGCAAAACCAATCTATGGTAGAAAAGGCGTGGCGGTTGCCTCTAAGGCTGGGGGTAAGCTTTGATCAGGAATGGGGAATGGGGGAATTTTCCCAGGTGAGAGTAATGTTTTCTATCTTGAGAGGGTTTTGCGTTACACAGGTGTGTGCATTTTGGGGAATCATTGAATGGTGCGCTTAAGAGTTTTGTGCATTGTATTGGATACAAATTTTGCTTCACAAGAAGAGAAACTGTAAACAAATATGTCACGCTAGTTAATGTTATGTATATTGAAGAGTTTTTGGGAAAGTGTTCATTGATTTCTGCAACTTTGAAATGTATCAAAAAAGTAAAAGGTGGACAAAGAGAGGAATAGATGTGAGAAAACATACAGTGAGATGCAAATTGTAGAATCTAGATGGATTTGATACCAAAATTCTTTCAACTTTTCTGTATGTTTGGAAGTTTTTATAATGAAATGTGGGAAGAAAAGGTCTGCTGCTCACCCATGCCACAGGTCACTAATCTCCTGGATAGGCCACTTTATTTGCTGTCCGTCTCCAAAACTAGAAGGTTGAACCTGATGCTCTCTCATGCCCGTTCCAGACCTGACATTCTGTGGTTGGAAATGAGTTGAAAGAGCCCCTGAGCCGAGGGCCTATGATCAGTAGTTTAACCTAATCATTTGCTGCAGATCCTTGCTTAACACTCAGTTTTTTGTGTAATGGTTAAGATGATTTCCCAACTCAGAGTCAAGACGTAGAAACCAGTTTTCACCTGAAAATGAAAACAGGGGATTTGTTTTAAGCAGATAATGCTTTATGCAAAGGTAGTTCACCAGATATCCATGAGGACAATTCCCATCAGGCCTCACCTGGACCTAACCCAGGAAGCAGAGGCTGTTGAGAGGCCACGAGCACTCCGCCCCCATCTCTTGCCGTTGCTTCTATCTGGGCATGGCTGCTTCGTTCTTCCTCAGCAACCAGACTACATGGCTAGTGGAAAATGACAGCCAATGGCTACCAAGTTCATCTGTGATAGTGCCAGCCACACTGTAAGTATCTGTCATTCTTAGTACCAATCCCAGATTTTCAAAGGAGATTTCATTTACTCAGCTTGGTCTAACTCAGTATAGCCAGAGGGCAGGGCTGTGGCTATAAATTCAGCACTTCTGTGGGCAGCAGGGAAGGGTGTTGGTGCTTGTGAGCTTTGCAGACATCCCCAAAGGCGTCTGCTTTTGTCTGGATCATCATTAGCGAGAACGTCCATTTCCAACCAGCATAATCATGAGTCCTATTAGATCATCCACAGAGCAGGATCCCAGTGTGGCATTCTGGAAACATACTCTACCTGGTTTGGGGCTACCTCCTTCCAAACCGTGAAGGAAATACCATGCCTAAATTGGGATCTGGAGGAGGTAACAATGAAGGGAGACAGGTTTATATTATATCCTTCAACACCAATGGTCTTCAAAGAACTGCCTGGCTCTGGACACTATGGCTCTATTTTAGTTTGTGTAAGAATCACTCAGGGAGCTTGCTAAAAATGTAGCTTCCCCTCCACTGCACCTGGGGATTCTGATGCAGCAGGGCTAGGATCAGGCCCAGGAAGCTGCATTTGTCGTAAGTGCACCAGGTGATTCTGAGGCTCATGGTCCTTGGCTGAACAGTCCACGGGTAACTCCATGTTAGGAATAATCACCCTGCCTCTCTCAGAGTTCACTTCATAAGGAGATTCCTAGAAACAAATTGTCTTTGGGACTTTGGGGTATGAACTGAGAGTTATGACAGTAGAGTGACAAACAGAGAGGCAGATGTTTGGGGACCCAGAAAAAAAAATCTCATATTTCCCAGACGGCTGCTGGCAGTGGCATCTCAGAAGGTGTAACCCGTGTCTGGCTCTGAGCACGGGTCATGTTACAGTATATGGAAATTTTTGGTGCTGCAAAGAAGTAGCACTTGAATATAAATTTTCTCAACAAGGCAATTTATTTCTGTAGAAAGGTACATCTCACAGATGGAGCAATGGTGAGTGAACACATGAGCAGGGGAAGGAAAGGGGTTCTTGTCCTTGATGCATGTAGCGTTTACTGCTGTGTCGTTCTTCTGTTGGCTAGAGTCGGACTACACAGTCTAAGCTAATTCTGATTAGCTTTTTTAAAGGGAGCAGGAGTATTAGCCAGAGTGGTGGGGTGAGCAGCTTGGTGGGAAGGATAGTTACAGAACAGGTAACTAAAGGTGACTTAGAGCAGTTAACTAGGGGTGACTTAGGTCAAAGCAGGTGATCAAGGTGAGTCAGGACAGAACAGATAATGAGGGGAAATGATGTGAACTACTGACTAGAGCTGGTGGAAAAGGTTGTTTACTGAAACTACAGGGAAGTTAAACTTTAAAATGGAGACCAAAGAACTGAACATACTGACATACTGATTCTTTGAAGAGAAATTTAGAGTTCATTGTATCCATCAGGTGGGAATGTCCTTAGCTCTCTGTATCTTTCTGATCCTTTATTCTTTAACTTTTAGGATGGAAAGAGATGCTGCATTTACACAGAAAAAGGCAGAGAGGGCATGCCTCAGAGTTCATCTCAGAGAAAAATATAGACTGCCAAAGGTAAGACCTCTGAGCACAGCAAACGTTGACTCATTTCTTAACTAATAAAAAGTGGGAAGTCATGCTTAATTATCTGCAAAGGAGATATATATATATATGGATACACACACACACACACACACACACATTTATCCTAATTGTAACTGAGATTTGCAATATAGTGAGAAGAACACTGAACTAGGAGTTCATAAAAACTTGATTCCAGTTTTTAACTTATTTCTGTGAACTACCACTGTTGCTGAAAAAAAAAAAATGGAAGTAATACCTATAGATGGCCTTTTAATGTAAATGTATCTAAAGATTCTAGAACTTCTCTATGTAAATACACAGTGGGAACAATAGTTATAGCTGACATTGGTTGAGCTCTTTCTAGGTACCAGGCACTGTGCTTTGCCTGGTACAGGCAAAGATTCCTGGCTAAATGACTCCACCTTCACCTTCTGGGTTGAATATGAATATTCAACTTCATATTGCAAAGATGCACCATCCCTTAAAGAACATCTTCCGCCTGGAGAAGCAAAGGAGACGATCTCTCCAAGGGCATGATCCCATGTATGAGAGCCACCTCCAAGTCCAGGTGGTTTAGAAAGTGCCGCTAAACCAATTCCTTCCATGGATCCCCAGCAGATCCCAGAAAAGGCTGATTATAGAAACTACAAGCACTAAACAAGAGAGAGTCCACTGTCTCTGCAAAGTCACTGATGAAATCACCAAAGACTTCAACATGGGAGACATGGATCCCTAAGGTGCCCAAGGAACCTGGGCTCTGTTCTTCAAAAGGGAAGGAAAACCCACAGTAAAATGTGAGCTCATTTCATTCACAGCCAATGAACTTGCAAAAGAATGCCTTGCTTTTCCTTTTCCACCCACAATTCAGGTTTAATAACTTTTCCTCAATGTGCTTGCATTTTGGAAGAGTGAAGGACTTCTAAACACTGTCCTTGCCACTTTCATTGTCTGGTGAATTTCCTGAAACTCCCTGGATGTCACTGGCTCTCTTTAGCAATGTGGCCTCCCCCTAGGCAGGAAATTTGAGTTAGATTCTTGCTGCCGCACTAAAGCCCCTGGCCTCTGCTCTTGGGTCCATCTGATTAAAGCACTATCAATCTGGTTGGGATGAAGCAAAAATTTCATGTACACGCACACACACACATACACACACACACACATGCACATGCACACACATATGATCGACTGGGTGTGCATCGTCCATAATAGTGGGGCTTTTAAAGATTTATTTTTGACAACTGCTATTCTTCTGTAGGGATCTAGAGAGAATTGGGGTTCAGTTGTGGTGCCATGATGCAATATCATATGCTTTTAAAAAAATATTTAACACTCTTAATTTGTGCAGCAGCAATAAAGAAAAAAATCTGAGCCTCAGTCTCCTCATCTATAAAATGAGAGCTGTAGTTGCTAACTTCATAAGATCTTTGTCTGAGATAATATAATACAAAGGACCTAGTACAGTGCCTGACAGTAGAGCTCTTATTATTGACATTATGATCTCTGGGCACAAGTCTGATTTCCTGATAATAACAACCGGGGGTCTTGAGGACTGCCAGTCCTCAGGTGTGTAACCAATGCAGCAACTGAAGCTTCCTGAGCCTCAAGGCACTGAACCTTTGATCTTTTCTCCACTAATGGTGAATCAGCAGTCTTGCTTACTTCCGGATCCTCAGGGATGAACACCCTTAGGCTTAGCAGTAAGGTTTGAGTGCTCTTCTGAGAAAAATAATTCTCAAATCTCTGTGCCGGGCTATCCTTTGAAGCAAGAGCCTTTCTGACAGAAACTATGGAAAGAGGAAAGAATTATAGCCATGAAATGCACAAATCCGGATCCTCCCTAGAGAATGATTGTGACTATACCTGCATAGGCTACTGCTCCCTAACCCTAGCTAGTGGGAGAGGCGGACATGAAGGATGTTGATAAATTAACAGTAGAGCCCACCTGTGTCTTTCATTTCATGGCTTACCGATGTTCCTATACCCCCTTTTCTATAGCTGTTTTAAATGCATAATGCATTTGAAACCTCACCTGATCTTTTTCATAGACCATGAAAGAGACCGTAAAGCTCATCTCATAATCTCATACCACTGCCTTGTTTTACACCTAGGAAGCTACAGCCCAGCAGAGTTAAGTTGCTTTGCAATAAGCCTCATCTCCTGTGACAGAATCAGGATTGGAACTCAGGCCCCACAACCATGAGAAAGAGCAACTCATTCACAAAAGGACTTGCACAGAGTTCCCCTCTCCTCAAGGCATTTGTTCTTTCTTTCTTTATTTTTTTTTTCCTATTTGGCATTAGGAACTTTTTTTATTGAGACAAGGTAAAGAGTGGGCTGAAAATATTACAGGGTGAAGGAGGGCTGAGGAAACCAGGATGAAGGCAGCTCAAATGATGAACTAAATACATTCCAAAGGTACTATTTATACTTGTAAAAGTGAGGTCTTAACCAAAAAGGCTTTACATGACATTCAAAAAAAAAATAAGAGGGGGTCATTTACATCTTTTGGAGTGACTAAAAGAGCTAAATTATATACCCCAAATCTTACAGCAGGGGGCTGTTTTCAGGAGGTAAGCCTACGTACAAATAAGAACCTATTATTCTGTAACATTGTCCTGCTTTGTTTTACGAGAATATATAATTCCTATCCCTACAGAGTTAGTCTATAAGGCCTCAGTGACCTCATAGAAATATGGACCTACCTCCACTAGAGGACTATTTACACTGCGCTATAAATACTCATATGTGTGTCCACCCCCACAACTAAACTGTCCATGCCTTGAGTGAAGGGGTTACGGCTCATTCATTTTGTATTTACAGTGACAATTAATAGGCACTCAATACTTTCTTTGCATGAATGATAAATGAAACGCTTTGACGCTACCGCGGCTATTTACGTTAACACTCCCACCGTTAGCCGCCTCCAGAATAAAAACACCGAATTGCTGCCACGTTTTCAGCAGTTTTCATAATACAGCGCTTCTGGACTTTTTAATGTAAACAAACATGCTTAATTTACCAGTTTTCAGAGTCATGACACAAACTTAGCATGCTTCTCGGAAGGGAAAACTTCCTGGGAAGTTACTTCATTCTTTTTCTCTTTTTCAAAAGTGCATCTCGCAGCGCCAACTGTTCTTCTCGGTAGGAACGCTTACTTTTTAACTGGACGTGGCTATGCCGCATCCTCATAAAGTTCTTCTGCTTTTTCTTCTCTTTATTTGTTGAACTGGAAAATGGATTCATTTTGGTTTTCTTCCTCACAAATTCTTTTCGATCTGTCTTTCCAGTCATTGCAGTTGGTAGTCTTGCCTCTTTGTCAGACTTCAGCTTTTAATGAAGGCGTTCAGTGTCCCAAAGAGAAAGTAATTCGCCCCTGGGCTCTTCATCACTGTCTATTTCCATATATTTCCTCTTCTGGGATTTCCCCGGGCCGGCGTCAAGTTCTTTTCTCATTTGGGCCATGCGGATTTTCTGGAAGTCTTCCTGAGTTAAAGCTCGACTGGTGCTGATGGCTGCAGCTCTGCCCTTCTGCTCCTCCGTGGACATGCTGTTCAGCTTTTTGGAAATTTCTTGCTGTTCTTCATCAGAAGAGTGTTGCACATCAACCATTTGCCATCGGCCTCCTCCTCCTCACGGAGACTGGTACGTCCCCATCCATCTTCATCATCTCTAGCATTCTCTTCTTTCTCAACTTCCAGAACTTCTGCTCCTGGAATATAATCTTCAGCATCTGCTTCTCCATATTCTTGTACTCTTGCTTCTGTGGAGGCCTTGTAGGCTTACCCCGGAATTTCTTCTGAAGCATCTGAGGATTCAGTGTTCGGAAGAGCTGAATCAAACTTCCAAAAGACATCATTGCATTCTTATCCTTGCATGTTTTATACTGAGCCAGGTCTTAGAGAAGTCCTTCAGTCATGGCCAGAGGACGCTGAGCTGTTATCTGTTTTATAGCATCGATTCCTACTGTCATGACTTCTCTAGAGTTCTTGGTCACAAAATTGTTGGCCACGGTCATAAGCAATGATTGAATAATCCCTGGGGTGATGAGAGGCTTGTACAGCAAACAGAACGATCTTTGTTACTTCTCTTTGGCAGGGCTGCAGAAACCTTTGCAAAAAGGGAGAGAAATTGAAGGGGAAGAGCTCTTGAATTCCCACCAATCTGGAGATGAGGTTCAAAAGCATCTTCACTTCAAACCTCTCCTTGCAGCACTCAAGCTGCCTTTGCAGTTTTTCTGCAAAATCTTGGCAATCATGAATCAAGTGAATGGCTGAAAAGTTAAACACCTCTCTTTTTTTCTTCTTTTGTTTCTTGAGCACTTTCATTGCCTTTTCCAACTTTTTCTTGTTTTTGCAACTTTTCTTTGCTGTAGCGTATTGTACTAGCAGGTTTCTTGTTGTTGGTCCGTCATCCTCAGATTCGGAGTCATTGTTCTGTTTTCATCTTCATCTTTCCCAAGAAAGAATGTCAAAGCAGCAACTAATATCTTGGTGACCTTAGAGAAACATGCCGTTGTGATAACTGACAGTTTTGGCATCATTCCAGATGTTCCTTCTGTAGCATTCAGCCATCACATCTGGAGACACCTTGGCTGCAGTTGCATTGCTATCTGTTAACACGTTGTACATGAAATTTTGCAATACTACATTCACTTTATTGTTCTTGTGTTCTGCATTTATATTCTTGATGTCAGTCGCATTATGTGTGTATAAAGTCTTTCGCAGAAGCTTATGGCAAAGTAGAAGTTCAAAGAAGAGCTCTAGCGGGCTTGATAGATTGATGAGATTCTTACTTCTCAACAAGATGAAAGCTTTCCAAAACGTCATTCAAAGATCTGGATCCAATATGGTATGATTGTAGGAGAGAAGATCTTTCATTTCTTGAGGAAAATTACTTAGATACTCTGGGTAGCAGTGAGTTATCTGTGCCATAAACATCACCGGCTTTGCTAGTTCTTTGCTGGGTTTATCTGGCTGCATTTTGAAAATCTC